CTGCAGGGGACCTGAGCCTGTGTTTCTGCCGCGAATGCCCGGGAAGTGCCCCGGCCGCGGGGCGGACGCAGCGTCTGCTGGGCGGTAGGGAGAACCCTGGGCTTCCGAGTGAAGACGCCTGGGTTCTATTTCGAGGGTAGCCACTGATTCAGCCTGTAATTATATCCAGTCATTCACTTACATATGTATATCATCAGTCCCGGGGTGAGAAAGGCAAGAAACTCAAAAAGTGATCAGGGAAACTGAGTCACGGACACCTGAGCATGCATCTGACGAAGGAAGACAGGGCTGGTCTAATACCTTTTCCTAATTCCTGCTAAACTGGAAAAACAAGAGTGAGCAGGTTGAGAAAGATGCTTGGAGCCAAGAAGGAACCAGGCCCAGAGGAAAACACAGGTACATCCTGGGCTCTGATGGATACCAACCGATACCGAGGAAGGGACAATGAGCTTGGATAATGCACGTGGGGCCTATGGCACGGAAAGTTTCAGGGAACCTCAAGCTCTGCACCCAAGAGCTAACAGCCCTAACACTACTCTCTGAGGATCCTCGCATCCTTTCCCCATCCTCCTCACTAAAGCTTCCTAGGCCTGTGCCCAGGTCCCTACACCCGTGACATGGCCCAAAACTCCAAATTCACAAATCCAACCACCACTGACACCTCCGCTAGTATTTAAATAGGTATGGCAAATTTTTAAAACAGCCCCTGCAAACTGATCTTCCCTCGGGTAATGTTAAGTGGTACCACACTCCCTCCGCTTAGGAAAGTCAAAACCCAAGGAGTTAGTGTGTCCTTTCTTCTACCCCTATATTCCATCCATCAGCATGCCTTACAGGTTCTATTAAAAGAAAAAACAAAAACCAAACAAACAAAAAAAAAAAACTCCAGCCAAATACATGCTCCTATTGATCCACTTCCTTCAATTTCCAAGACCACCACCCTAGTCCAAGCCCCCATTATCAGTTTTCTGCTCTATTATCTATGGTCTCCTCGCTTCCAGCTTTCCTCCCACAACACACTTTACAAAGCAGCCAATGATTGATTTGTTTTTGAAAGGAAAGTAAGATCACATCCCTCTCTTGCTTAAAATGCAATTGCTTCAAAATAAAATCCAGCTGCCTAAAATCCAAATAGAACCCATCACTATAAGTCTGTGACTGGTCCCACTGAGCTCCCCTTTTCTTCTGGTACGCTTCTCCCACTGGTCACTTTCCCATGGCACAGCATTTGTACCTCTTCTGAAGTGCCTTTTCCCAGCACCCGATTTGTCCAACTCCTACCTTTGTTTCAACTCCTCAGAGACCTACCTTCCCCATCTACCCAGTGTATAGGCCACCTCCTGTCCTTTAAGTTCACTACTTGATTTAGTTTCTTCATAGCACTGTGAAGAACTTGTTCACACTAACTAAACTCACTTGTTCATGTGTTTTCTATTTTTTTGTTTCCCCTCTACAGTGGGGGCTGGACAAGAACAGGGACTTTATTTAGACTTGGCACCAAAACATATTTATTGAATGAATGAATGAATGAATGAATGAAAGAATGGTAGCCTTTTGGTTGCAAGGTTTATTAATAGTGACCACCCCCCTCTTTTGGCTCCCCTTACTACCCCAGCTTCCAAGCCCAATCAATTTCCCCATTCCAGGGCTTCCGTGTAGCCCCAGAAAGTAGGAAGTGGGATAGGATAGACATGGACATCATCCAGGGCTCTGGCTTCCAAATCTAGTTTTTCTTTAATGCAAGAAAAAACATCCTTTTATCCCAAACTTCACAAAACCCTTACATATCAAATATATAAAGCACGGACTGCCTTTGTTGAGAGAAAATATGTGGAGTTTACAGCCAAGAAACACAGTTTGGTGTTTACTCCTTATTTCAGTGACTTCACGGTACAGATAAATGGGCTGAGGCCTACCAGAGAGGAAATATGACCTCAGAGCCACAGCTTCCAGGGCCTGCAGACCAGTGCTTCTTCCACAGCACCACACTGGAGTCTAGAGTCTTTCCAGCCAGAGCAGAGGAAGATCCCAGGGGAGTCTGCCGTGGTGAGAGCCAGGGTCCTCCTTTGGGTACCTACCCCTCAGCTGCTGGTCCCAGGGTCATGTGAGAGGCTGGCTGGGAGGCAAACTAGTAGTGCAGGGGGGTTGGGAGGAGAAGCCAGGTGTCTGTGTTGCAAGACCATTGGGGCTAGATGACTGGGAAGCGTCTCCTGGACATGCGGTGGTCTCTCCTTTCCTCAGGATGAGGCTGCTGAGTTCCTGGAGCAGCTGCTCCTCCAGAGAGCCCGCCTGGGGACTGCTTTTTGAAGGGGGGCCTGGAGGGGGCTCTGGTGGCCTGTCCTCCAAGCCCAGGGTACTTGTCTTGGAGAGAAGGGGTTGGTCAAAGGACTTCTGGCTGGGGAGGGGACTCTCTGGCTTGGCTGTCCACTCCCGTGTGGTGGAGAAGGACGTGGAGATTTCCTTGGTGAGCTCCAGGAAGTCCCCCACTTCCTCATACACTGGCTCCTCATACACAGGTTCCTCCAGCTCTTCTTGCTCTTCCACAGACCCCTGCGATGACTTCATCGGCTGTACAGTAATGGGGTGGCAGGGGGCAGGCACAGAGTTAGTTACAGGATTATTAATCACTAACATTTATTGAGCTCTTCATCTAGGCCAGATGTTGCAACAAAATACTTGGCATGAATGATGTCAGCATAACGCTGTGCAGTGGGTTCACTGCAAAAAATCTAACTGAGTTGCAGAGGGGTTAAGTCGCCCAAGATCACACAGTAAGGGGCTTTAACCCAGGTGTGCCTGACTCCAAAATGGTCCCACTTAACCACTTTCCTTATCTCTCTCAGATTCTATGACCGCTTTCTCCTTTCCTCATGGCATCCTACCATCCCTCATTTTCCTCATTCTTCCTGGTCCCCCCAATACCCCAAAGGGCCTGAGTCCAGACAGACACAAAGAGCACATCCAGGGCTCAGGCAGCACAGAGCTGGCAGGCACATGACTGCAGCAGGCACAGTACTCACAAAGAACATGGACAGGGTCCTCCGGTTGTGTAGTCGGCGCTGGGCACATGCAGGATGGGGATGAGAGGAGGGAAAAACAGACATAGTGAGGCCTGGCGACAGGAGGCGGGAGTGGAGAGTGGGGGCACAGAGAAGGTGCCCAGGAAGGTCATTGTGAGCAGAGGGCAGCGCCAGGCTGGCAGGCACACTACTCCCGCCTGGAGTTTGACAGGGTACGGGCAGAGACAGATGGGGGCCCGTGAGGGGTCTCACCAGGGTCTGGTTGGCAGAGAGGAGGGTGGCTCCACTGTCATCCCCACGGATGGGCAGCAAAGGCATAGTGCCAAACTTCTGACGAGCGAGGTCAGAGGAGGAATGTCGTCGTAAGACCACTGGCTGCTGGTCATCATGCTAGTAAGAGATCGACAGGCTGGCACCAGTGGGCTTGGGCCCCAGAGAAATCCGAGACCTGGCCCTCAGCCTTTTCCTCCCCTCACCTGAGCTTTAAGGATGCTAGTAGTCCAATCCCACATCTCATTCTCATCAGTGCAGGCCAAGTAGCTGTAGGTGATCAGAATGGAATTAATGGGGGGTGTGGCTTGGGGTAGAGCATTTGACTGCAGAATGAAATCAATGGAGAGAAGAGGTTGCAGCTATAGGGATGGAAGAATGGAGGAAGGAAAGGAGAAAAGAAGACAGGGAGCTAGGCTTGGCCAGAGGACAAGCCAGGCTGGGAGGTACTCACAGGTGCATCTTCTCCAGGAACAACGTGAAGCCCCACCTAGGATACAAAGGGCAACAGTGATGGGGTGAGTGAGCGTAAGGCCAAAGGGACGATGGCAGGAAGGCCCTAGAATATGAGTTGGGAAGAAAACTCACGGTGTTGGGGGCTTTAACTTCTTGCGGATTCCTAGGTAGACTTTGGCACTCTCCAGAGGCCATTCCCGTTCTGGTTTAGAGCTCTGAGAACATGAACAGAATCAGTGAGGGAAGGTCATGGTTACTGAGGTCAAAAAAACTATGCAGGGGGCAGGGATTTAGCTCAGTGGCACTGCACCTGCCTCACAAGCGCTAGGTCCTGAGTTCCATCCCCCGTACCAGAAAAAAAAAAGCTATGGAAGCTTCTGGGCATGTGACCACAAGGCAAGGGGCAAGGCCCAGGAAGCAGAGCGATGGTGGGAGCATGGGCAGCGAGAGCAGAGGATTGGTACCCTCTTGGCTCCCGCTACATGGTTACTCAGCATCCCTCTCCACTAGCCCCAAGGCCTTACCCTCTTCTCTTTGAGCAGCAGCAGACAGCAGTCACGCAGCAGAAAAAACCTCTCCTGGAAGCGGCTTCCTAACAAGCGAGGTGGCTCCTCACGACACCGCAGCAGCCCCACCCGTGGGCTCTCACGCCGGACACCTGAGCACAGAAGGGCAATGCTGGGTGGAGGGTCCTGGAGAAGAGCCCGGGGAATGCTGGGCTCAGGAAGGCTCACCTGTGAAAAGGCAGCCAGCCTGGGCCAGGGACACTTTCCTCAGGAGCAGGGAGGCTGAGCAGGGCTCTGGGAGCTGGCACCACTGCAAGGCCTGCTCGAGGACCTTTTCCTTGGGGTGCAGTGGCCTCTCTGAAAAGGCAAGGTAGGGACAGATGTCAATCCGAATATCCATCCAAAGCCTACTTACCCAACTCATCTCCCACCAGTCGCTCGTCCATTCATCTACTCAACTATCCAGCCACAGACATTTACTTTAGGACCAGCTCTATGCCAGGCATTGGGCTGGTCCATGGGTTCAGGAGAGAGCCTGACACATATCACCCGCCTTCACAAAGCCACAGCCTAGTACAGGAGCTGGCTACAAACAGACAAGTAAAAGGATTGTAAGCCGTAATGGCTTTGAAAAAAAAACAAAAAAACAAAACAGAGTTTTTGAGGAGCAACTAAGGAAGGCTGGTCAGGCGAGGCCTTTCAGAAACTGCATTTCAAGATGAGACCAAGTGATCTGAAGGATTAGGAAGAGAAAGCCATGCTAATATCATGTAATATCTTACATGATAAAATATAAAAACAAAGCCCTTGAGTCTTGTAGAATCCAACAGCCAGTGTGGCTGCAGCAAAGAAGATAAATAAGAGAATGGGTGATGTTAAGAGATGAAGTCTGAGAAATAAGCAGGAGCCAGACATTCAGGGTCTGCATGCCATGATAAAGACTTGGAATTTCAAGTTCACTGGGAAACACCAGAGGGTTTTAACCAGGGGAAGGGCATGATCTGATCTAACTTGAAACATCCATTTGGCTGCTATGCAGAAAATTATAGGAAGGCAAGAAAACACTATCTAGCTATTCCCTCTCTGGGGCCACATGTTCTATTGGTTAATTTTAGGAGGCTGAAACAGTATGGTGACTTTAACTAGAGTGGTAGTAACAGTGGGGATGGAAAGAAGGAACAGATTTGAATAGAACGGAGAGGACTAGTTGGTGTGTTGGAGCTGAAGGAAGACTTCCCCGAGGGCCTTACTAACCTGGAAAAATTGCAGGGCCATTTAATGAGTCGGGCAAAAAACAGAAAATAGCCTGGACGTTTTGTTAGGGAAGGGGGTCTAGGAATTGAGATTGGCCTTACATGTTTTAAATTTGAGATACTCGTGAGAGATGCAGGTGTCAAGTAGGCAGTTGGATACCCGAGTCTGGAGTCAGAGGTAAATAATATGGGTGTCAGCTTATTAGTGACATTCAATGCCATGGGACTGGAGTATATCCAGGGAGAACTACAGGTAGAGAAGAAAGGGCCCGGGGACCCCCTAACACTTGCAATCTGGGCAAAAAGTGAGAGAAGCCTCCTCGAAGTAGAAAGGAAATGAAGAGCTTGTGAAGCCCACGCAAGAATAAGAAATAATCAGAAAGGAGTGGGTCAACTACATTGAATGTTCCCTCACACGACTGAGTAGAGTGTCCACGGCATTTCGTAGCACGGAAGTCATTAATGACCTTGTCCACATGACCAGAAAGCACGTGCACACACACGGTCTTACTCACCAAGCTCCCCATGCTCAAGAACCTCAAACATCACCCACAGATCTGTCCCCGCTGCTGTCCCTCGCATTTCCAGTACTTGGTTTGTCAACTCCTCGGAAGTCAGTGTTGGGGACACCTGAGATCCGGGAAAGAGCAGAGAACCCACACTGGTTAAGTGGCAACCTGTCCCCCACCATCCACCCCTCTTCTCTTCAGTCTCCTCCCAACTGACCTTCAGGGTGACACAAGTGTCTGGGAGCTGCTGCTCTATATAAACCTCCATGATGAGGTCTCCAGCCTGGGACAGCTGAGGGAGGGATAAAGGAGGACACAGGAGGATGTTAAAATGCTGAAATCAGAGGATTCCTCATTTGCCTCATCCACACCAACCCCCAAAAAGGTCTCCTCCCAATCCTCACCCCAACACCGCTTGGGCTTTTAAAAGGGAAAACTCCAGGAGCGGTGGAACCACATCTTTAGCTGCATATGGTGCTGCCCAAGGCCGTGGTTGGGGGGACAGGTTTGGAGTCTGACCACCTGGCTTTCAACTCCGCCACTCACTACAGTGTCACCTTGACTAAGCGACCCTTAGCCTCAGTTCTTTACTTGAAATAAAATGAAACTACCCACTCCATGGAATTATAGGATGCTAAAATCAGATAAAAGGTGTCTGGAAAGTAACAAGTACTCAGCTGATGCTTGCCATTGTAGTTGTTATTCTTATCCAGTCTGACTTTACTGGGTTTTTTTTAGGTACTAAGATTGAACTCAGGGTCTTCACACTGAGCTACATTCCCAGCCTCCTTCATTTTTTCTTTTAAAACAGGGTTTCACTAAGTCACGAAGTTGTCCAGGTGGAACATGACCTTGCCATTCTAGCACTTCCAACTCCCAGAGTGCTGGGATTACAGGTGTGTGTAAACTATGCCTGGTTTGACTTTACTAACTCCTCCTGAGATCTCTTACACTCGGAAGTGAGGTGCTGTTGCCATCATTTTATAATGAAGGATGCTTATGGTGGAATGAATGTTAGGGAGCAAACCCTAACAAATCAACTCCCCGACACACTTTCCTCCTTGGATTTCTCCTGTCTGTCAAAGAGCTGAGAGTCAGTGTGCAGAAGGACAGGCTGAAAAGGAAACTTCAACTGTAAAGAAGGACAGCTTCCCATCTTGATGTCCCCTCCTCCTCGGCCCAGGAGTCTAAGGTCAGGGCAAGTTACCTGTACATCCTTCCAGGTGGTGATAAGATTGACCTCCAAGTCAATCTGAGCTACCTGGTCAGAATCAATCTGTGAAAAAGCCAAAAGTTGATGTGGGGGCTTCTGGGAAAGGAAGGAAGCAGGGCAGACCTCAAGGCCAAAGGGGACTTGGGTAAGAAAGAGGGCTGGAAGCCCAATGAGCATTGAGCCAATGGGGTAAGTATGAGGACGGTGACGATATGAGAGAAAGAGGCCCAGGGCTCTGTGAGTGGCTGCTGTGCAGAGGGCCATCAGGGCTGGGGTAGGGCTCATTGGGTCTCTGAGTCCTGCAGGAGATTACAGAGGTTGTAGGTTGGGGTCAGGGGTCAGGAAAGCCTTACATCAAAGACAGAGACGTAGCAGTCAATGAGCTCCTGCAACACCCGAACTTCGTGCACCCCGCGCCCATCTGTCTGAAACACACTGGGTGCAAACAGCAGGGCCAGGTTCCGAGTGCACATCTGGTTTAGAGCTGCACATTTCTGTACCCTGCAGAGAGGTAACCAGGTCGTGAGAAATGCTCGGCACACTTTAAGCCAATACAGACTGCCAGGATCGAAGATGTACACTTGGGATATGACGGAAAGACACAGCTTGAAGTCTTGGAGAGTAGGTGGGGAACCATTAAGGTACAGGTGACTTTTTACATAAGGGCACACAGTAAATATTTTAGGCTCTCAAGCCACATAGAAAATATACAAGTAAAAAAAGAAAGAAAGAAAATATATAAGTGGGTGTGGCTTTACAGTTTATTTACAATACTTTATCTACAAAAACAGACAATAGGTTGGGTTTGGCAGTGGACCTATCCTATTGTTAGCCAACCTCCGTAATCTGTATAACCAAAACATGGCTAAGGATTCACTCAAAGGCCTCTCCTACCAACAGACTGATAAAAGTCTGCCTCTTGTTCATCTTTGCATTTCTTATCTCTAACCTTTACCTGACACAGAATAATAAAACAGAATAATATTGACTGTTAACAATTTCTAAAGACTTACTGTATAGCAAGGACTGTACTAAGAATTTCACATGGATTATCTCTTTTAACTCTCATCCTATGAAGTGGATATTATTCAGTACCTCATCTTTCTTTTAGAAATGAGGAAGTTGAGGCTCAGAGAGAACAAATAACTCACTCAAAATCATACTGATAGAGTGATGGAGCCAGATCAAAGGCTATGTCTGCCTGACCCCAAAATCCATTCTCTGGGGGCCGGAGATGTAGCTCATTGGCGCCACACCTGCCTCACCAGTGCAAGGTCCTGAGTTTGACCCCCGGTACCACAAAACAAAACAAAATCCATTCTCTGAACCTTTATGTTATGACATCTTCATTTAACAATGGTTTATGGATGGATGAGTAAATGAATGGCATTGTGGAGTTGGGCCGAGTTGATGAAAGGTGCAGGAGCCTGCAGAGGGCCAGGTCATACTGACCGATAGAGATGCCCAATGAGGGTGGCCAGTGTGCGGCGGTTGACCCGTGGCAGGCAGCCAATGACTTCTTTGTATTTCTCAAGGCGTTGACTCTTCTGAGGTAGCTCTGGTGATAGAATGGAGGCAGGTTGGAGAGGATCCAGGAAGGGAGATTAAGGGGCTGGAGTGCAGGAAGGGATTTCTAGAGAAACAAACCCAGGATGAATTTATCCCTGTCCTGTCCCCAAATCCCGGGCCATCCTATCTCCCACAGTAGCAAGTTTAAGGGCGGGAGCTGACTAATCCCACAAAAGAGCCTCAAGGATTCTGGTGGGGGAGGTGGAAATCCCCAGCTGGCCCTTGGGTCATAGGGATCTTGGGAGTACCAGCAGCCTCCCTCCAGCGAGGCAGGAACCGAGCAGAGGTCACAGGGTCATCCAGCTCTCGGAAGAAGCGTTTCAGTGTGTCAGTGACATCCTCCACAAAGTGCTCGCCTGGACGAAGCTTCACTGACCGCGCATCCCGCCGGAACTCAGCCAGGAGTCTTAGGCTGCGGGCCCGGGCGCCCCCCTTTCGATACACGCCTTCCAGCCGGAGTCCTGAAAAGAGCCAGCAGTTGTGGAAAGTTGTGCAAAGAATGACCACCGCCCACCCAGCAGCCCATCTGTGTTACGTGGCTGTGGGAGGAGGAGGGTCACACAGAAAGAATTCTGCGTCTCTGAGGTCTTGACTCTCAGCTTCTTGCGGAAGTCTCTATCCTCAAAACGTCCTTCTGTGACTTCACTACCACGCACTGCCTCCCCACCACATGCATCTCTCACTAACTTTGCAGCTACTGATTGAATGATTTTAATTTTTTTTTTTT